ATAAGGGAATAAACTTCAGTAACATTAGAGTTTAATGAGTTAGGAATTATTAATTTTTTTAAAGACGGACACAATTAACTTGAATAGCTATAATTTGCTTTCTTTACGAATGGGGGCTAAAGGTAGAGGACACAGGTAATACTCTGGTTTTTTCACTGCTGTTAAACTTAACTCTAATATTAAGTAAAATGAAGCAGTTTTTGTTTTCTCCCTTCTGTACAGTGTGCTTCCATGTTTTAAAATTCACACTTGATTTAAAATAACAATATATAATTTGCCCTTGAAGCAAATAAACATGGTGGAGTTCAAGAGAAAATTAAATCATAATTCTTGACAACTATAATGTTAGAATTAAATATGAAGTAATAAGGCCATCTAGTGGTAAAATTTTCAAGTTTTAGTGAATGAGAAAGTATGATATCTGTTTCACTAAATGTGAAAATTAGAACTTACCATATAGCTGTACTATAAGACCATTAAAACTTAATATCTAGAAAATAGTTTAGCCTGAGGTAGTTTCCCCTTATAGTAAATGAAGGCTCTCTGGTTATATCCTAAAGATCCTATCTGCAAATTGCTCATTCAAAGACATGATATTTTTCTAGATTGTAATAATCAGAGCCACAAACAATAACTATAAAGAATAAAAATTGGGAACAAAGTAGAGACTTAATAGCAGAATAGAATGTTAAAATTTATATACCTAAAACTTTTCCAATCTATTCTGCAACATCCAGGGCCTGTTATTTGCCAGGAAATGAGTAAAACTCGGGTCCTGCACATAAAGAAAAGCAAGCACACGATTGTTTTTGTCTTTGTATTTAGAACCTTTCAAAAGTGTTGAACATTGACAACTTGCTTATTGAAACAGTTAATCTGACTAAATAGGCCTGGAGCTTGTATTTCAAACAAAGGTTTTTAAGTGGTTGTTAGGCAAATATGGTTTGAGAATTATGTTATCCAACATGTCATAATTATACAATAAAATGGCATCTTAGAAAATTATATGTATGAATTTAACACAGATATGTGAATGTTAAACATTTGCTTGGGAAGGAACAGATAAAATGAGCCACCTGTTTAGAGTTTTTCAACAGGTATCACAAAAATAATAGAGCAAAGAAGCTGAAAACAAACTGAAGAGATACTATTCTTTTGTAACTCTTTGCATTATTGTAGTGTTTAACGTTGCTAAATCACTTTTTTTTTTTTTTTTTGAAACAGGGTCTCACTGTGTTGCCCAGGCTGGAGTTCAGTGGCACAATCTCAGCTCACTGTAATCTACCTCCTGGGTTCAAGCTGTTTTCTTGCCTCAGCCTTCCAAGTAGCTGGAACTGCAGGTGCGCAGCACCATGCTCAGCTAATTTTTGTATTTTTAGTAGAGACAAGGTTTCACCATGTTGGCCAGGCTGGTCTGAAACTCCTGACCTCAGGTGATCTGCCTGTCTCGGCCATGGCCTCCCAAAGTGCTGGGATTATAGGTGTGTGTCACTGTACCTGGACTGTTAAATCTTTTAACAAATAAAATATGTCTTGAATATTTCTCTTTTTTTAATCAAACAAGACATTTGCTAAATGTTAAAAAAGGATAGTTATTTCACATAAGCTGTGACTGCCTCCTTTCCTTTCTAGCTATCATAATTGGCTGTTACTGTCATTCAAGTTTTCCTTAGTTTTGAAATTAACTATTAAAATTAATTCAGAATATATTTTTTTCCACCTTTAACATTAATTACATTTTATCTTATGCTCAGACTTTTCACTTTCATTTATAAAATAATTTTTCCCTCTAGGTGTTTGGAGTAGATGACAATCAGGATTATAATAGGCCTGTTATCACTGAAAAACATAAAGATCTGATAAAAGATTGGGCTCTTAGTTCTGCTGCTGCAGTAATGGAAGAAAGAAAACCACTGGCTGCATCTGGATTTCACCACTCGGAGGTATACATCTCTTCTGCGTACCTATTTGTATGCATAAAGTATAAATTCTCCCCGCACCCCCAACCCTGCTGAGACGGAGTTTCGCTTTGTTGCCCAGGTTGGAGTGCAATGGCACAATCTCAGCTCACTGCAACCTCCGCCTCCTGGATCAAGTGATTCTCCTGCCTCAGCCTCCCAAGTAGCTGGGATTACAGGCATGCAGCACCATGCCCAGCTAGTTTTTTATTTTTAATAGAGACAGAGTTTTGCCATGTTAGCCAGGCTGGTTTCGAATTCCTGACCTCAAATGATCCACCCGCCTCAGCCTCCCAAAGTGCTGGGATTACAGGAGTGAGCCACTACACCTGGCCTGAATTCGTATCATCTATAAATGTCATTATTTTAAACAATCAGTGTATTCTCCTTGTAAAATGCTTCTAAAAACTAACTTACTACAAATTTATTTTCTAATGAAAGCCTAAAACAATTTTTCAGTAATTCACCTTTAGTTTTTATTAGGTTTTTAAAATACTCTTTTGTCAATGAGGAAAATATTACCTTTCAATGAGCAGTTAATGAGCTATATGCTCATGGTTCTGACTGGTATTATGAGATAAGACAGGAAACATATGCCGCTTATAATTTCTTGGAAGTATATGTTTCCTGTATATCATACCAAGAAACACGTACCTGGGTACTTCTGATAGATACGATTTATATACAGTACAGCCCAGGATATAATTAGAATAATATGAATTAATTAAGGATTGCTTGGTTAAGATAGTTACAGTCAGTATGTATAGTAGAGCTAGAAAGTCCTCACTCAGCTGCGATTTTTAGCTCAGAGCTTTTGAATCAGTCACTTCTCTCTTATTTTCTGTTTTCTCATCTACACAAATGGCATTTTTAATAAAATCTATTTGTAGAGAATTTTATGAAGTATGTAAAGCATCCAGCATAGTACTTGCCTAAGATTTATGCACTTAACAAATGTTTTTTACCTTTATCAGAAATGATACTAGAAATTCATGCCACATTGATGTGTCAAAAAGAAATGTGAAAAAAAAAATCTAAGAAGTATTATTATTTATTCAGGTAATAAGAGCTAACATTCAGTGGAAGCTTTCGTTCTCTGACTCATTATGCTACACTGTCTCTCAGGAATGAGCTAATCTGCCTTATACAAATATAAATATAAAATACAAATAGAAGAAAATCTAAAGGTATAAATAAATATAAATAAAATGTTACATTTGTATGAAGTATAAATAAGATTTATTTTTACATACAGGTAAAGAGACCCATGTGTTTGTTTATTAATGTTAAAATTGACCTTGTGATCCACCCACCTCGGCCTCCCAAAGTGCTGGAATTAAAGGCATGAGCCACTGAGCCCGGCCCAAATCTGACATTTTTAATAAAATCTTTGTTTTGACTAGTTCAAAATAAAGTTTTTGTCATGGCTTTCCACTCCCTGCTTGTCGTTACAGTTTTCATATGAAGCCTTGGCTTTTCTTGGATTTTCATTGAGAGATGTCATTTTTAGTGACTTAGTTTTTTTTTTTTTTTTTCCCAGAGACAATCTTTATTTTCTAGAGAATTTTTATTTTATGTAAGAGAAAATTTAATAATTAATATAGCAATATGAGGTTTATTTATGGGTTTGTATGATAAGTTAAAGTGACTAAATGAAGTTCTCGTTCATGAAACTCCAATATGACCAGGCTGCATTATTTTCTTATTTTTCTCCTCCTTTAGGAAGGCACATCTTCATCAGGAAGCAAACGTTGGGTTTCACAGTGGGCTAGTTTGGCTGCTAATCATACAAGGCATGATCAAGAAGAAAGGATAATGGATTTTTCTGCACCTCTTCCTTTAGAGAATGGTATTCTTTCTCTTTCTCCCTTTTTTCTTCTCCTTCTCCATTTCTCTCTCTTTCTCTCTTACTCTTTCCTTCTCTGCTTTTTTGTGAATCATATATCAGTTGTTATTATAAAAGACAAGCCAAATCTATATAGTAAAAAGTAAGTTAAACCTTAATAAACATATTCACATATTCTCATGCTGATATGTGAATTTTTTATAAATAAAAAGCTGGTTTTTAGTAGACATGTTATATTTTGAGGGATTTTAAGCAGGGGAAAAATTCACAGTGATAAAACTTTTTAAAGAGACTTTGTGGACTTCGTAAGTCCGGACTTCCTAAGGACAGTCAGATGGACAGACACCAGCTTGGATTTAATTGTTCATTCCAAGGCACTTTTCCTTTTAGTTGTAAATTTCTGCTGTTGAAAATAAGAATGATTTTTAAATGTTGTGTTTTTACTTTTAAATGAAAATTCTTCCTACTCTTTCTGATATGCTGATATCTTAAGATATGATTTTGACCAATGCAGCTATCATTTAAGTATAATCTTAACTGAAGATAAGGAAATAATGTGTAAATGAAGCATATATATATGGGTATATATATTACATATATAGATGAAGCATATATATATTTCATACATATAAATTAAAAATTAAAAATAAGATGAAGATAGGTCTAAACAATTTTATTCATAAATAAAACAGATATTGAGTGCCTTCTTTATGTCATACGTTTAATGAAAAGGAATAATCTTACAAATCTATGTAGTCTGATTTTTATTACCTTTTATATTTACGTGAACAGAAATATAAAGGCTTTTTAGACAAAATGAAATCATATGCCTCCAAGGATTTCATTATTTGTTCATTAGTTTCCTAGTTAAAAATAAGCCCCTGAAAGGGGGATGAGGCGATGATGGTCAAAAGGTACAAAATCTGAATTAGGAGGAAGAAGCTTTTTTTGTTCCCCACTGAGGTCTATTGCACAGCATGGTGAATATAGTTAATATATAGTATTGTACATTTCAAAATTGCTAAGAGTAAATTTTAGATGTTCTTACCACAAAAAATGTTAACTGTTCGAGGTGATGAATATGCTAGCTAGCTTGATTTAATTATTTCACATTGTACTTATGGTCCTCATTTGGTACACCATAAACATCTACAATTATAAATTGTCAACTTACAATAAAAAATTAAAAAACTTACCCAAGTTGTAAAATAAATACTCATTTATAGTTGAAAACAAAAAGACCCTCAATGAGATTTTGTAGCTGGCTTTTATCTGTTATCTTAATTTTGTTCTTGTTGAAAATGGAAATTTGTTTGGTCTCAGGCTTGTGGCACCCCAAAAATCTGTTTTAAGAATTTTGTAAGTATTAGAAGTATTTGAGGAAGCTACATAGCATTGTACTAGAAAAGCTACATCATTTATTTATGTTAGAATCTAGAAGTAATTGACAGTGTTACCAGAAATTCTTTGGAGGGAAGAAAATCATTTGGTTCATATAAATTATGTTTAGGAAACAAACCAGACAGAAGGCTAAATATATTTACCAAAGATTCTATTATAAAGTTATTTAGTATTATCTGAGAAAAGCAGAATTCTACCCTTGTTATAAAAAATAATAGCCCACTTAGCTTTCATAGTTTCATTTCTGTTTTATCATATTCTAAATGAATTTATTCAAATAAACTGGTAAACCCACTTAAATTCTAAAATGTTTTTGTTGAACATATGAAATACATATATTAGGAGTGGTGGGGCAGTATGAGAAATACTAGAAAAATACAAAAGGGTAAAATAGCATTACATTTTAGATGTTTCGGTTAGCACTAAGGAGATAAGACATATGAAAGAAGAAACAAAATAAGATATAACATGATTAATGACTAAACGAAAGTTAAATATCAGTTCAGTAAGTGTTTTCCTCCATCATAACCATTGTATTTATATGATATTTAAAAGCTAAACTTTTAAGATTATAAAGAGGAAAAAAAGACCCACAGAAGCTGTATCTAGTATCTTTTCTCCATTTATCCCTAAAAGATTAGGAAGCTTTATATGTTAATTTACATTTCCCTGAAAAGATGTTTCCCTTTTCTCAGAAATACTTTCCATTTTTAACAGTCAAGAAAAGTCTTAAATGTTCTTAAATTCTCTCATGTGGAAAAATCAAAATATGTATTTTCTCATTGGCTTCTACTTACTTGACAAAAAAGAAAGGGATTATGTGTTTCCATATGTGGGCTTAATAGCCAGAAGACTATAATTAAAAATCCCTCAATTTATAAAAGTTTGCCATGTTTTGACTATGAAAAGTCTGCTATTTTATAATTTTAAAAATTCTTTTAATCAGCTATAGATTATTTTTAAAATCTTGTTAAAGTTCTGTATTTTTAATTTTACTTAAAAAATCCAAAATTGTCATTCTTTCAAGTAGATACTAATGCTTTTTAAAGACTAGGTATGTTGTTCTTCTCTACTATGTAATTGAAAATATAGAAAATAAACAATGTTTATTAGACATTCTCTGTATAAATCTGTAATTGTTAGATTCTGGTTTTTGTAGCAAACCTCAAGGATGGAAAGTTACAAAAGTGAGAACGAACACAGTCAACTTTCCTTCTATAAAATGCATTAAGAGGAAAAAATAGCAATATATTTAGGTTTAAGATCAGAATGACCATTATATACCATTATAACTATAGCTAATAACAATGCATTGTATATTTGAAATAGATGAAAGTAGATCTTAAATGTTCTCACCACAAAAAAGGTAAGTATGTGAGGTAATAGATATGTTAATTGGCTTGACTTAGCCATCGCATAATGGCATACATCTATCAAAACATCATGTTGTATGCCACAAATATGTATAATTTTGTCAATATATAGAAAATATATGAAAGATCAGATGACTCTTCTTTTTATCTCATGCAATTTTCCTTCCTAACTTCTCTAGGAATTGCTTATTTGTGCAGCCTGAAATTGTACTTACTTTTTAAACTACTTAGTCACAATGTTGGCTCATTCGTTTTTTATACTTAAGTCATTTTTAACTTATATCTCAAAGTCTAATATAATATTGCGGGCCCTCTGTATGCATAGGTTTTGTAATAGTGGGTTTTGCATCTGTGAATTCAACTGAGGATTGAAAATATTTGAGAGGGAAAAAAGGAGTGATTGCCTCTCTACTGAACATGTACAAACTTTTGTTTTTTTGCTTATTCACTAAGCAATACAGTATAACAACTATTTACATAGTTTTTACATTGTATTAGGTATTATAAGTAATCTAGACATGGTTTAAAGTATATAGGAGGGTGTGAGTAGGTTATATACCAATACTACATTGCTTTCTATAGGGTACTCAAGCATCCTTGGTATTTGGTATCCTGGGAGAAGAAGGGGTCTGGAACCATTCTTTGTGGACACTGACAGACAACTGTATGATACTCCTGCTCCTTTTATTTTTATTTTTTGCCTCAATTAGTTGCTTCTTTGTGTTTTTTATTTTATAGAGACAGAGATCAGTGAGTCTGGCATGACAGTGAGAAGTACTGGCTCTGCAACTTCCTTGGCTAGCCAGGGAGAGAGAAGGAGACGAACTCTTCCCCAGCTTCCAAATGAAGAAAAGTGTCTTGAGAGTCCCAGAGCAAAGGTTATAACACAGAGGTCAGAGATAGGAGAAAAGCAGGACACAGAACTTCAGGAGAAAGAAACACCTACACAGCTATACCAGAAAGATAAACAAGATACTGACAGACCTTTGAGTAAAATGAACAGGGCAGTCAATGGAGAGACTCTCAAAACTGGTGGAGATAATAAAACCCTACTTCACTTGGGTAGCTCTGCTCCTGGAAAGGAGAAAAATGAAACTGATAAGGAAGCTTCTTTGGTAAAGCAAACATTAGCAAGACTTCAACAGCAAGAACAAAGGGAGGAGTCTCAGTGGACACCTACTAAATTGTCTTCCAAAACTGTTTCAGGTCAGACAGATAAATGTAGGGAAGAATCTTTTAAACAAGAATCACAACCTCCAGAAAAAATTTCAGGACATTCTACAAGCAAAGCAGAAAGAATGGCACAAAGTGAGAGCAAGAGAAGAAAAGCCGAGGAAATTCTGAAAACTCAGACTCCAAAGGGAGGCGACAAGAAGGAATCCTCCAAGTCATTAGTGCGACAAGGGAGCTTCACTATAGAAAAGCCCAGCTCAAACATACCCATAGAACTTATTCCCCATATAAATAAACAGAATACTTCTACTCCTTCTTCTTTAGCGTTAACATCTGCAAGTAGGATACGGGAAAGAAGTGAGTGTTTGGATCCTGATTCTAGTATGGACACAACCCTTATTCTAAAAGACACAGAAGCGGTAATGGCTTTTCTAGAAGCTAAACTACGTGAAGATAATAAAACTGATGAAGGACCAGATACTCCTAGTTATAATAGAGACAATTCTATTTCACCAGAATCTGATGTAGATACAGCTAGTACAATCAGTCTGGTTACTGGAGAAACTGAGAGAAAGTCTACCCAAAAGCGAAAGAGTTTTACCAGCCTCTATAAAGATAGGTGTTCCACAGGTTCTCCTTCCAAAGATGTTACAAAAGCATCATCTTCAGGTGCTAGGGAAAAAATTGAAAAGAAAACAAAAAGTCGTTCCACAGATGTGGGTTCAAGAGCAGATGGTCGTAAATTTGTTCAATCTAGTGGGAGAATAAGACAGCCTTCAGTGGACCTAACAGATGATGACCAAACCTCCAGTGTACCTCATTCTGCTATCTCTGATATTATGTCATCTGATCAAGAAACTTATTCTTGTAAACCTCATGCTCGGACTCCCCTTACCTCAGCTGATGAGCATGTACATTCCAAACTGGAAGGAAGTAAAGTAGTGAAATCTAAGACTTCTCCTGTAGTACCTGGTTCATCCAGTAAATCCACCACTCTTCCAAGGCCACGACCTACCAGGACTTCCCTCTTGCGCAGAGCACGACTTGGTGAAGCTTCAGACAGTGAACTTGCCGATGCTGACAAAGCATCTGTTGCTTCTGAAGTATCCACAACAAGTTCTACATCAAAACCTCCCACAGGAAGGCGCAACATCTCTCGGATTGATTTATTGGCTCAGCCTCGTAGAACACGACTTGGCTCACTGTCAGCTCGTAGTGACTCTGAAGCAACAATTTCTAGAAGTAGTGCCTCTTCGAGGACCGCAGAAGCCATCATTAGAAGTGGAGCCAGATTAGTACCATCAGATAAATTTTCTCCTAGAATTAGAGCTAACAGTATTTCTCGACTCTCAGACTCCAAGGTCAAAAGTATGACCTCAACTCATGGCTCTGCATCAGGTAAATTGGATCCAGATTTTGAATAGCATTAGCATGTTGTATATTTTGGGGTACCTTTTTTAAAAAAAATTAAGTCTCTAGTTGTCTTCCCAAGATACTCATTCAAAAGAAAAACGTTATGATATACAGGGTTTTTTTTTCCTATGAAATAACTTTATTTAGCCTAGTAAATGGAAAAGTCAGAAGTTATATATACTTCCAATTAAAGTCCTGGGGCAAAATAGTGATTTCAAAAATTAGGAATTCATTGAGCAGATTTAGCAGTTTTAATTTTCCAGTTGGTGAAATATTTGGATTTGTGTGTCAAAATTAGATTATCTGGAATTATCTGGTTTAAATAATAGGAATTAACATTGTGCTTCTAAAAGCATGTATTTAACCTTTAAATATCCTCACATAATTCAAAGCGGTGAAGAACTTGAAAAAAAGCAGTATATGCTTTATTATTCCTTTCAGAGTTAAGTGAAATAATATTTTGTTCTTTTTTTTCTTACCTATTTTGAATGTCTTTCGTTCTTTATCTATACTTTTTAAAGTTAAATTTGTTTACAGTTGGAGCAGGTGAAAACTAATCCTTAATTTATTTCAGTGGAAGAAGATGAATTCATGGGGAATCACTCAGCATATACTGGTCAAACCGAGCTGTAGAAATTTTACTGGTTATGAACATTATCTCACAAAGTGCTGTTATATCATTTAACCCTAGTAATTAGGTGTAATTGAATATAATAACTACAAAAAGTACTTACTCTCCACCAGAATTTAACTGCTATTATTATATTTGTTTGCTTATGTACTTCATAGTCAGAGCTGAAGCCATTGAGATACATGTGTGACCAAAGAGTGATGAGGTGGATATTTGTTTGTATCCTGTAAGCATGCTCTCATTACTTCATAATGAGCTTATATGAGGGCGTGGCTGAAAAGGCCAATGTGGGAGAGCATCTGTTATAACAGACATGAAGATGGCTGATTATTTTCGGTCAGCAGACATCTAAGTGAGCCCTAAGTCTTGAGTTAAGTAAGAGTGGAGGGGAAGTTGATGTGAAATCTCATCTTTTTATTTTTGATTGGTTCACATCTACCACACTGTGTCCTACAAGACCCAGAAGGAACGGTACTTTGCATACGATACTTTTTTACCTTTCTTCCTCTTTTTACTGCTGCTCTCCTCCACTCCATTCACCTGTCTCTCTTTGCTGGTCAGTGAGTTTGGTAATGATGGTCACTGTCTCTAGTAGGAATGGATGTAGGCTGAAGCCAGATAACATATAATCATGATTCTAATAAAACATAGACATCATTTTCCTTATTACCCCAGTCTTCATTTCCATACTTGAAGCTTTGGCTGGCAGTTCACAAATTTATTGCCAAATATTTTAAAACTAACTACTGTATTTTGGTTGATTTTTGTTCTGTTGTTGCTTATAGCTCTAACTCTTCAATTCACATTTCATCTATACTGCATTTCCTGATGAAATTCTTCTGCTATCCTCCGTGTTTTATCACCTCATCCCCATTTAAGTACATTAAGATATGTATATATTCTCCTGTCTTAATGTAATTGGTATGTTACCAAGTAGCTTGGAGTACCTCTTAACACATGATGTGGCCTTATTCCTCGATATTTAGGATAAGGCTTGAGATGCAGGCTAAATATGATTACATCAGCAAGTCTAAGAAACAACTGCAAGTTGCTATTATAAAGATAAATTTCATTTCTGCTGCCTTGAATACAGAACTTGATAAATGTTCAGTTAGTTGTCTGTGTCCAAAAAGAACCTTGAATTGTGTATGAAATTTCCTAGGACAAATTGAGGTATATGATTTTGGTCTTTTCATACTTAATAGCAGTAAATTAAATAATTAGACTCATGGAATATTAGAGTTAGGAGGGTTATTCCCTTGAGAGAACTGAGGCCAAGAGAAGAAATAACCTGCCTTATCCACATGGCTGTAGCAGGTATGAGAATTTTGTCATGCCCAGCCTGTTGTTTTTCGACCATATTTATTCTAGCTCTAAGAAATAGTTTAGTGTTTACTTGTGAGCAAGCTTCGAGAAGACAGAATCTACTGGATTATTATCAGGAGCATATGCAAGGTCAATATACAATATAAAGGTTTTGGTATCGTTTACTAAAATCTTTGCTGCTCTGATGTTTTACCCAGTGTATATTCTTTATTCCACCTTATGAGCTTAAAGCCACATTGTAATCTAGGGTTGTATATTCAGATTCTCTCAAGATGCGCATAGTATTACATCTTATCTAGGACAGTGGCCAGGATCTTTCATTCAGTGGGAACATACTATAATAGCTGTATGGAGAAGGTAGTCAAACAAACAAACATACCTGTTCGATTTTGCTAATTTAGGTGCCTTTGCTATTATGACATTTCTGTTTAAGATAATCATAACATTTTGAATAGAAAAAGAAAAGAAAAATCTTATCTTTTGAAACATGATTTAAAAGAATGTTAAATCATGCTAATCAGTGTTGCTGTGCATAGTATAAATTTTCAAGACCTTGGAAATAATATGAACCTAGCACCTGTGATGTTGTCCCAAATGGATATGTAAAAATAGTTCTCTAATGCTTCAAATTCCATATTTTAGATTGTGTCTTTAAAATACTTTTAGGCCAACACAGTGTTTCATGCCTGTAATCCCAGTATTTTAGGGGAGGCCAAAGTTGGAGGATTGCTTAAGCCCAGAAGTTCAAGTCTGCAGTAAGCTGTGATCACACTACTACATTCCAGCCTGGGACACAGTGAGACCCTGTCTCTATTTAAAAAAAAAAGGTGTTTTTTTACCTTTTTTAGCAATATTAAGAGAAGAGTTCTTTATGTTTCTCTGATGTAATTTGCTTCTAGGAGTTTTAACTAGTTCCCGCCCCCCCAAAAAAATTCCTTCAATGATTCTTTAGTATCAAGTTGTAACTGAAATATCCAGATTTATTTTGGCAAGATATATTTAAATTTAAAGACCTCGAATTATCAAAATAAAACACTTGGTTTTCATTGTGTTTTAAGTGCACATTTTAGAAAATAAAAACATTTGTTAATATCCTTAGAGTTTTCTTAGACTGTTTGCTTTCCCTTTTTAATTCTAATCTTCAAAATGTATAGACAGTAGAAATTAAATGTTAGACATGCATTGCTTAAATTAACTCCTTCTCCAGGTCAAAGGCCTAAACAGAGGATTGTCAGTTTTTCTCCCCAAGTGATCTTATTGCTGAATGCTCATAAATATACATGCAAAAGATATTTGTGGTAATTCTCCACTAAAATATTCTGATGTAGTATGAAGATGCAATGTGTGTTTTCTGAAGTGTGTGCAAAATCTGTAGTTGTATGTTATAATGCCAACAAAGAAATTGGAACACTCACAGAAATATGATACAACTCTTTTTTCATTTTTAATTCTCTAGACATCATGGGTGATAGTATGTTTTTGTAGTGAATATAGTAGGTTAGTACTACAACACAAGAGGGAATGTTGCCCATTTTATAATTAAAATAAATTTTGTAATGAATGCTGTAGCTCTAGCTACAAGATAAATTAAGCCCATCTTGGAACTTTCATTTTAATATATATGCTGTCTAGGCCTTTACTAACCAGTAAGTTTCTTAGAGATTGGCATTTCCAACACCTATAATATGAATTTTAATTTAATGATCTATCATTAAATGCCTTATTAATACCAACCTATCAAATGAGCCTAGTAATATACTAATAAAGTCAAATTTATTTTTATAAATTGTTACTTAAGCCAAATAAAATTCAAGAGAAAGAAATAAAGTTTTTCTTCAACACAGATAGAAATCAGAAAAACTATCATTACATGAGAAATTTAGGATGTCTTTTTAAAACAACTTGGCTGGACACAGTGGCTCCACCTATAATCCTAGCACTTTGGGAAGCCAAGGAAGGCAGATCACTTGAAGTCAGGGAGTTCAAGACCAGCCTGGCCAACATGGTGAAACCCCATCTCTACTAAAAATACAAAAATTAGTTGGGGATGGTGGTGGCACCTTTAATTTCAGCTATTTCAGAGGCTGAGGCAGGAGAATTGCTTGAACCCTGGAGGCAGAGGTTGCAGTGAGCCGAGAAGATACCACTGTACTCCAGCCTGGATGACAGAGGGAGACTCTGTATCAAAAAAAAAAAAAAAATTTAGTGTGATTGGAAACAAAAATATAGAATTTGTATAACATTTGGAATTTCAAAGAATGAGTTTTGAACTCAGAGTCCATAGATCTGGCTTATACTTTGATTTTAGCAAGGTAAGACCTCTCTGGGTCTATTTCTTCTCTAAATGGAAGAATTTAGACTCTTGTCAAAGGTCATTCTGTTCTAAAATTCTATGAAATAAGTAGATTTGGGGGGAAATTTTAAATATTTTAACTTGAAGTTTCTTTGGTGTTAATTAACAGGTGATAGGGAATTTTCTTTAGAAAAATAAAAAGGATAGCCGCTGTAGTTTGGAAGCAAATGTTAAGAGAGCAAAAAGTTTTGAAATAAATTCTTTGAGAAAAATAACAGGTTAGAGGCCCTACCATTGAACTCTCTTTCCCAGTCCCTTCTCCATCAGTAGCCATCGTTTCACTCCGTCTCAGCTCTGCTGCTTTTGTTACACAGACTGTGTCCAGAGGTAACTGGAGCTTTTCTTAGCACACTACGTATGATATGTTTTCCACTGGCAAAGGGAGCTCTTAATTAATGATTTTAGTCATATTTTTACTTCTGTGCTATACGCTAATTATTTTATCCAGTTTTCTCCTCAGTTTTAAAAGACTATACCTAAAGATGTTATACCTTTTTGTTTTTAAAATATGCTTTATTCTTTTGATTGCTTTTTTGTTGTTGTTTTTGTTTTTGAGATGCAGCTGATTTTTGTATTTGTAGTAGAGACAGGATTTCACCATGTTGGCCAGGATGATCCCAATATCCTGACCTTGTGATCTGCCCGCCTCAGTCTCCGAAGGTGCTGGGATTATGGTGTAAGCCACCATGCCTGGCCCCTGATTGCCTTTAAAAGCTATGGTTAGTAGCTTTGCTATTCTTACAGGCTTCCAGGTGACCGGCCTATGACAAGAGATGGAAAAGCTGTGTAAAAGAAGTTTTTCTTTTACTCTCTTTTCCTCAAAATAGAATTGTGTTTTGAGCCTAAGCTCTGACTATTAAAAGTTAATTCTAGCCTGGCTCTACTTATATGTGGTCACCTGACATTTAAAATATATTATTAGCACTTGGTACTCAATTTCTCATTCTGCTTTCATGTAGTCTGCCATGAAATATGTCAGCCACTGATGCCATTCTTTCTCAGTTATCTCCTAATTAACTGTCTTAGTTTTATCATACTTATTGCATTTTCATATATTCTGCAGTTTATTAAAGCTCTTTGTTAATTACTTTTCTTTTCTTTCTAGTTTCTAATCGTATGTATGGTGACCATAGTTTCCTAACAAAAAATCAGGAAATTTGATATAACATGATTTTTTCTTATTTATGAACTATACTGTAAGATAGCAAAACAAACACATCTAGCATTTAATGAAATGCTTTTCTGAAAAGTACAGATTTGTTTGCACTACGTCTGATTTTGTCTGCCATACTTCTGATGTTTTTCTAGACTCTTTAGTGTTGTTCCTAAACTTTTCCTGAAATTGGTTTCAAGTCTCAGGATCAGTTCAACTCATGAAAGTTTTTATATATCTAGAAATGAGTACATTTTCACCATGGTAAAAGTATTGTCTATGTTAATAAATTATTTTACAATGTTAAAATCAGAAGTTATATTTAAGCTCCTCTTCGAAAAAAAAA